AGCAGGGCTGGAGGGGTTTTCCCAGGTTGGGCTGATGGCTGCCCTGATAGTCTGAGTGGTCCCAGGCCAGCGGTTCCAGCTGCACCTTTCCTGAGGCCCCTGCAGGCTGGGCGCTGGCCATGGTCCTGACCAGACTGTGGTTCTTCTCTAGCTGCTGAGGTTGGCTAGATTGGGGGTGAGAGGATAATGGAGGACCTGAAAGAGGGCGAGGACACTCATCTATTTGGGACAGCTGTCATTGGGGTTGACCAGGCAATCTCCAAGCATTCTGAAAAGGCAGCTGTGAAGTTTCAGCCAAAGTTAGACATGAGGACCACTTCATGTGTGCGGTTGAGCTCCTGGCTCTGAGGCTTCCGCAATGGTCACCATCATTTCTGGGAATACTGGGAGAGAGAGAGAGAGAGAGAGAGAGAGAGAGAGAGAGAGAGAGAGAGAGAGAGAGAGAGAGAGAGAGAGTTCCTTAGCACCGTGACTGGCACACTCACAGCAGTTAAATGCATGCATTGGTGAATGATGACGTTCAGATATAATGACTGAGGGGAAGAGGTGGCAGGTAACTTGGAACTCAGATTTAGCAAAGAGAAAGGAGGGATTCTTGCTTGGGATGGGGTGGTGCACAAATATTCTTGTGCTTGGATATGAGGAACAGTGTGGGGAAGCACTGGACTTGGAAGGTCTGTAAGGAGGATTCTCTGAAAGGTCGGGGCCTCTGAGGGGACCTTGCCATAGGCGGCAGCCCCTGCCTTGACTTTTCCAAACAAGTCCGATCCCCCGGGGTGTTTTTCTGGAATCTCTATGTTTAGTCTTTAAAGACCCGACCTTGTAGAAGCATATACTTTTTCAAGGATACTTGCCCTGCTGATTGTATCTAAAGGTTAATTTTAGTTCAAGCTGTTGTGACAATGAAAGCCTAAGAAGGCAGATGAACAGGACTGCTTTTTACTTCTAAAGTAGAACAGTCCCTTAGCCCTCTCTTTCACAGAAACGCGTGTCAGAGCAATCTGTTCATCCGTCACTCAGGGTCTGCTGGTCAGCCCCGGCAGAACAGGAACTTGAACCACACGTTAGTGCAAGCTAAAAGATGAGGACATTTGATATGCATGTGCTGAGAAGAATTAGTAAAGATTTCTTGGTGCCTGCCCTTTGATATAAAGTTTAAAGAAAGAAAAAGAACCATTTCTTCAGGTAGAAAGGAAGTGAGAAGAAGGGGTCAAAATGGAGCATAAATGGGCCAGAAAGTAAAATGAAGATTCATGGGACTTAAAAAAAATCCTCATCTGAGAATATATTTTTTAAATTGGTTTAGAGACAGGAGGGAGGAAGAGAGAGAGAGCAAGAGAGAGAGGGAGAGAGAGAGAGAGAGAGAGAGAGAGAGAGAGAGAGAGAGAGAGAGATCAAAGCAAATGAAATATTGAAGCAAGAGAAAGATTAATCAGTTGCTTCTCCTATGTGCTCTGACTGGAGATCAAACCCACAACCTAGGTATGTTCCCTGACCATACCTTTTGGTGTACAGAACAATACTCCAACCAACTGAGCCACACCAGCCTGGGCAAGATTTATGGGAGTTTTGAGTTCTGCTTCTGACTAAGATGTAAGAAGCTAGAAACATTTAAAATAACAGCAAAGTCATGAAATACTTAGGTAGAAATTTAACAAAATATGTGCAAGATTTGTATGCTGAAAACTATAGAACATTGGTGAGAGAAAGCCGAGAAGAAATAAATACATGAAGAGCTAAGCTGTGTGCATGGATTAGAAGTCTCAGGGGTGTCAAGATGTCTAGTCTCCCCCTCCCCCAAAACTGTGCTGCAGACCCAATAATCCCAAGCAAAATTCCAGCAGGCTCTCTTTTTGGTGTGTGTGTAGGAGTGGGGAGGGAGGTGTGAGAAAGAAATTGACAAGCTGGTTCTAAAATTTACATGGCAAGGCAATGTATAGGGCATTCAAAACCATTTTGAAAAAGAACAATGTAATTGGACTACCCACACCACCTGATTTAAAGATTTGTCACAAAACTACAGTGACTAGTCCAGACGGTGATATATTGGTGAAAAGATGGACACATAGATCAATGGAACAGAACGGATAATCAGGAAACAGACCTACACACCAGTCGATTTGTGACAAAGATACCAAGGCAATTTAAGGGAGAAAGGATAGCCTTCTCAACAAATGATGCTGATAAATTAGACGTCTACAGGCAACCCCCCCCCAAAAAAAACCCAACAAAACAAAAAACAAAAAAACAACAAAACAAAACAACAACCACCACAAATCATATTTTGTACCACATGCAAAATTAACTTGAAATGGATCACAGACCAAAATATAAAACCTAAAACTGTAACTTCTAACAGAAAACAGGAGAAAATGTGACTTTCAGGTAGGCAAAATTTTCTTAGGACACAAAAAGCACAAATTCTAAACAAAAAAAATCAATAAATTGGAATTTCTCAACATTAAATTTTCTACCTTTGGAAGTGACCCAGCTAGAGGCTGGAAAAATACTGGAAAATCACAAATCTGACAAAGGACTTATATACAGAATATATAAAGAATTCTCACAACTTAATAATATTGATAATTAAAAATGGACATAAGATTTAAACTAATACTTCACCAAACGAGATATACACAATGAAAGATGTTCAACATCATTAGGCATTAGGAAAATACAGATTAAAACCATGATGAGCTATCACCATAAACCTATTAAAATGACTTAAAAAAACAACCTGACAATGTCAGGTCTTGACCAGGATGCAAAAATGGTGCAACCACTTTGCAAAAACAGTGCAATGCTTCCATAAAGTTAAACACACTCACCATGTGACCTAGCACTCCCACTGCTAGGATTTTATCTGAGAGAAATGAAAACAAATGTCCACATAAAATATCCTATATGATAAAAGGCTTATATGCAAATTGTCCCCTCGGGAGTTCGACCACTTGCTATGACATGTGCTGACTACCAGGGGACAGCGTGGAATGAAGGAAGGTCCCAGCCAGCAGCCTGGGGAAGGAAGGCCCTGGTCAGCAGCCAGAAGGCCCCGATCGGCCCTGATCACCGGCCAGGCCCAAGGACCCTACCTGTGCATGAATTTCATGCACTGGGCCTCTAGTATGTACATAATGTGTCTGGTGGCTTTATTCACAGTTGCCCCAAACTGGAAACAACTCAAATGCTCATCAGCTGGTGAATGGATAAAGCACCTGTGGGTCAGCCACACAGTGAGATGTTATTCAACAACAAAATGAATGAACTCCCGAGAAGTGCGGCTTCATGCATGTTGAATGCATTACGATAAGTGAAAAAAGCCACACTCAAAGGAGACATACGGTGTCATTTCGTGTGTATGACGTTCTAGAAGGGGCAGGATGCTCTAGGGTCAGAAGTCAGATCAGTAGCTGCCAGGCCTGGATTGGAGAGGAAGGAACTGGCTGAAGGGGCATGAAGGAATGTTTTGTGGCTGACAGACGCGTTCTACATTTAGATTACGGGGGTTGCTATATAGATGTATGAGGTTGTCAGAATTCATAGAACTGGACACCCCGGGGAGGGGGTGAATTTTTATGTGTTAAGTTATATGCCAATAATGCTGAAGGGCCTTATACAGTGATCTTTAAGTGATCACTCAGGCCCTCATCCCCTAGGTCCTTAGGTCAAGGCTGGGCGGTTGGCTGTCTAAGTGAAGGGCTACCTTATGTTCACCATTAACTACCCATCTCCACACACATTCCCTGTCCATATGCTATATACACAGTAAATATGGGCAAATCAATGAATGAAAGAACAAAGTAGACCCTGAGGATGGAGGGCAGCATTGGGCTCCCAGCCTCTCCTGCACCTGCGCCAGCATGACTCAGCTTCCTGCTGCTGGGAGTTGCTTTGCCTCCCCCACCCAGTCCTGACTCACACGGCCATCTCGCCTGGATCACCCTTCATAGGACCCGAAACCCGCCCCCCCCCCCCCCCCAGATCTCCAGAAGATATCATGTCCTGTCTTCTCCCATAGGATGGTGAGCAGTTCAAGGTATATGTGTGCACAAAATACTGGTCATGTGAGCATGTGCCCCCGGGAGGCACCGGCTGTGCTAAGGAGGCCAAACTTGGGCAGGAGAGTTCAGGTGGCAGAAAAAAGGTTCCCTCTTGCAGACAGACCATTGTTTCTTCCCTGATACCTAGAATAATGGTACTAGTTAATTGTGCTGAGTGCTTGCTGTGTGTCCTGCTAACTAGGATAATGGTACTAGTTAATTGTACTGAGTGCTTGCTGTGTGTCCTGCTAACTAGGATAATGGTACTAGTTAATTGTGCTGAGTGCTTGCTGTGTGTCCTGCCAGCTAGGGTAACAGTACTAGTTAATTGTGCTGAGTGCTTGAAGTGTGTCCTGCCAGCTAGGGTAACAGTACTAGTTAATTGTGCTGCATGTTTGTTGTGTGTCAGACCCTGTTCTAAAGCACTTTTGCCTGTGGAAGTCCATGTGATGCTCCTAGTAACCCTGTACGCAGTTATTATTCTCATTTTACAGGTACAGGAAGGGAGACAGAGAGGCTGTGACTGCACACACAGGAGGTAAGAAGTGTCCTAAAGCCACAAGTCTGGCTCCAGCCTGAGTTCTGCATGCTCCACACCGCGGGGACGCCAGCCAGAGGGAAGGACTACAGGGGCTGGGGCGGGTCCTGGCTTCTTCCAAGAGGAGACACTTCTCCAATCCTTGGAAGGCTGGAACCAGAGGATGCAGGCAGTGGCCCTGGAGGAGGGCCTGACCCCGGCTGTGCGGACGGGTCAGTGATCCCCAGCGAGGCTCTCAGCCTCGGACCCTGCCCAGCCCCAGCCATGCGGTGACCCTGGCTGGCATAGACGGAGGGCTGGCCTCTCGGAGGTCTGCAGCAGCGGCTCCTCCTCTCCTCTCCTCCCCTACCCGCCACCCCTCCCTGAATCACAAAGCCAGACCCCAGTCCTGACTATTGCTCAACCCCCAGGAGCCAGTTCCTGTGGGCAGTGCCTGACTGCCCGACCCTCTCCTTTCTGCAGTTCAAGGGAAAGACGGGATCTTGCACAAGGCACTCTGCGTCTGCCTCCGCCAGGGCAGGCTGCCATGGGGCCTCTCGGGCTGCTCATCCTGCTCTCGATCACAGGTAGAGTCCCTCCCTGCCCCGCGGAGGGCTTCTTTCCTTCCCCTCCCTTGAGTACCTGGCAGGTGGGGGGGAGGGGGGGAGTACTGGGCTGAAGGAGGTGCAAGTCCCCTCTTCCCACTGCCCCACATCCTCCTGCTCCCCCCGCCCCACCCCCACCCCCCCACCCCCCCCCCCCGGGCATCAGAGCCCGCAGACTCTGTGCAGGGGCAGGTGTGAAGGTTGGCAGGTTCTGGCCCCTTAGGAGGGGAAGGAGTTCTGATGGTGGCATCTCCAGCACTAGCTAGTGGCTGGGGGAGTTTGGGAGCACTGGTAAGAGCCCCAAAACTTATGAGCCATGTAAGCATAGGACTAGCCCCAGAGGAGTGGCGGGGGCGGGGGGGGGGGGGAGAAGAACCTGGGGCTGAGATTCGTGTCCTTTGGGTGCCCCCTCCCAGGCTCAGAAGGTCCTTCCGTCCTCAGCCCTGGGAGGGAGGTGGGGGGGGGCGCAAATATTTCTGTCTGTGAGCTGGGGGGATTGGCACTCCCTGTCCTTGCCCACAACAGTCTTTCCTCCTTGGGGGAGGGGTGCCTCTCACTCCCCAACAATAGGCAAACCTGGGTGGGAGGAGCCTGTCCCAATGGAGACTGGCTCCTGCAGTTTATCAGCTGGGGGGCCTGGAAGAGGGGGGCGCCGGCCTAGAGGCAGAGGGGTGAATGCGGAGACGTGTGGAGGGGCCGCTGCTCACCAGGTCTCTCTGGCTCCAAAAGGCAGGCCACCAGCCCCCCAATCCTAGCTTTCAAGTGTCTGTCCCAGATGGTTGAAGATGAGTTGAAGGGAAAAGGACCAAGAAGGAAAGTTGAGGCAGAGGGCTCTGGGTGGCTCCCCTGCAGCCCCTGTCCTGGAAGTGGATGGGTGCTCTGAGCCCATCTCCCCCACCCCAAGGAGGACCCCAAAATAGCAGCCTCGTGTCTCCCCCAAAATAACTCTGAGACGAGTCCATCCTGAAAGGGGAACAGAGCCGCAGAAATAGGGAAGCTGGAAGACAAAGGTCAGAGAGAGCAGAGCGCAGAGCCACCGGCGTGGGTGTGGGCAGCGGCACGGGAACAACATGGCCAGCGCGGGGTGCTGCCCTCCCCCGTGGAACCAGCCCCAGGCCCGAGGGGGTCCCCAGCCGTCTCTCTTGGGAGGGAGTGGGGTGAGGCGAAGCCTCGTGTCATGTGATGGGGAGATGTGCAGAAAGAGCTGGAGGGGCCTCTAAGACCCAGAGTTTTTGGAAACAGGCCCCGAGAGGGTCCGTTACTTCAGCAGAACCACCCTCGGGCTTCCAGGGACCTGGGAAAGCCCCACCGAGGGCCCCGTGGGTGGCTGTGCGGTTGGTTGCTCACTGCCCACCGGGCCCCACCCCACCCGACTCCTCTGTCCAGATGACAGAGGCAGACCCGGACTCGGGTTTCACGGCTCCCAGTTTCCCACAAACACGGCCTGGGCTGCGCCCCCTTCCTCCAACTTCTCTAAGAACCCAAGCCCCGTGAGGGCAGGATTTCTGTCTCTTTTGTTCACAGCACACAGTAAGTGTTCAATTAATACTTGATGAATGAGTGAGAGAGTGAAGGAATGTCTCCTCCCCAGAGCTGTGCCGAGGCCTCAACACCACGGTGCTCCAGGGCCTGGCAGGCCAGTCCCTGCGCGTGTCCTGCCCCTATGACTCCCGGGAGCACTGGGGGCGCCGCAAGGCCTGGTGCCGCCAGCTGGACGCCGAGGGCCCGTGCGGGCGGGTGGTCAGCACCCACAGCTCCTGGCTGCTGTCCTTCCTGAAGATGCGGAACGGGAGCACGGCCATCGCGGACGATGCGCTGGGCGGCTCGCTCACCGTCACTCTGCGGAACCTCCAGGCACAGGACGCCGGCCTCTACCAGTGCCAGAGTCTTCGTGGGGGCGAGGCCGACACCCTCAGGAAGGTCCTGGTGGAGGTGCTGGCTGGTGAGTGGGCAGCGAGCGGCCCCTCAGAGGCCCCCAGGCCGGGCCCGTGCAGTGGGTGTCTGTGCACAGGACCCCCCTCTGGGGCCCGGGGCCCTGGGAAAGCCCCACCGAGGCCACCGTGGGGGGCTGTGCAGGCTGCTCACTGCACCAGGAGCCACGGTCCCACCCAGCTCCCCTGTCCAGACCACCCCCTGCATCACCGTAGGAGGGGGACCCATCCCTAATTCGCACAGGGTGCCACCTGTGGTCCTGCTCCCATGCCCATCGGTGGGAAGCAAACACTGTAGGGATGTCCTGAAGGAGTAGGAGGAGGTTCCTGAGTTCCCTCACCCATCCACCCAGGGGACCTACCGGCATAGATTCAGCACCAACCAGGTGCAGAAAAACAAGCAGGTGCAGAAAGGAACGGCCGTGTCCCTGGGCAGCTTGCACACCTCTGTAATACCTCATCTTTAAGTGGAGATGATGGTGTCAGTCCTGCTGACCTAGGGCTCCTGTGATGCACACGGGAGATGCAGTTAAAAGTGCGGGGGCGGGGGGTGACAGCCCTGCCCCAGCCTCCGGCTGTGAACTGCCTGGCATCCTCACCAGGCTTGCCCAGGTCCCCCCCACCCAAGCTTTGCCTGGCGGATACCCTCCAGGGAAGCCTCTGGCAGGGGGGTTGGGGGAGGGAGAACGTGAGTGTGTCCTAAAGGAAAGATCGGGGTTACCATTCCTTTTCTGACTCTCTTCTTCACAGCTCCTCCCCCAGCATGTGCTTTCTCATGGGAACGAGGTTCCAGGGTAGCATTTGTCTAAGGAGGGAGCTTAGGGGCACTGTCTGCCCAGACCCCAAGCCCCACTTTCACCATCTTTCTAAGTGGGAAGAGGGAGTAGGGGGTGAGGACACAAAAGTTCAGCCTTATCTGGGTCTAAGGCCCAGCCGACTCCCTAGATGGTGGCAGAACAATGATAATAATAACAATAACTCAAGGCTGGTGGCTTAGCACTTCACACAGGACTTGCAAATACATCCATTATTCCCATGATCTTCCCAAAGACCCCGAGACTTACTGAGCGCTGGGAGGTGGTGGGCCCTGCGAAGGCTGTTCCCCTGAGTCCGCAGCACTGTTACTGAGGGGGGCTCCTAACTGCCCCACTTCACAGGCGAGGGAGCAGAGGTTCAGGGGGCTAACAACTTGACCCCCACAGGCCTCACCCCACCCAGAAGGTCCTCCCCAAGGTCACCGGCTCTGTCTCCACAGACCCCCTCGATGGCCCGGACCCCGGTGAGCTCTGGATCCCGAAGCAGTCCCAGAGCTTTGAGGACGTCCAGGTGGAGCACAGCATCTCCAGGTACAGTGACAGGTCTCCCCTAAGATCCCGCAGACCCCGCCCAGCAGAGGGCCATGGGGTGGGGCCTGCGGGTCCCAGGACTAGGGTCCAAGGCAGTCAGAGTGTAAAGGGCTGGGGATGGGTCTGTCTAAACAGGCTGCCGGCCTGTGTGTGTTGGCCTGACTGCCAGGTACTAAAACGTTGAAATTCTTTCACAACAGTTTGTAAATAGCGGTGGCTCCAAGAATCCTGAATGGTCAGCCCCCTGCATCCCCACAATCCAGCAACAGTGAAGTTTTAGTGCTTCAGTACAAAACTGGGGTCCCCAGATCCGCTCCTTTGCTGGGACCAGAATCAGTCTGATTGGCTCATGTCCATGTACTGGTATTAAACATGCTAATATAACCGTGGAGTACACATGTGCCCCTCCACACGCTCACACACCTCATACCGTCCATCACGCAGGGCAGACACTGTGCAGCGAGGGAGGTGATGTGTTGCAATGCACTCGGCAGGCAGGCTTGGCCTAGAACTCGGGTCTCCTGACTCCAGGCTTCCCGAGCCCCACGGAGCTCCATCCCAGGGGTGGGGGTGGGGGTACTCTAAGCCCCGGAAGCTCCTGGTGTCTCCCCATCTTTCTCTGAGGCCACCTGGAGGCCTCCCACATGCTCTCCTTGTTCTCCAAGGAGCCTCCCTGAAGAGATCCCCTTTCCACCCACCTCCATCCTCTTCCTCCTGGCCTGCATCTTTCTCGGCAAGCTGCTCACGGCCAGCGCCCTCTGGGCTGCGGCCTGGCGTGGGCAGAAACAGGGGATACCCCCGGCCAGTGGGCCTGACTGTAGCCATGACCCAGGTGACCAGCTCCAGACTGTGGCCATGACAGGTGAGCTTGGAGAGCAGTGCGGCTGGGCGGATGGGGCAGAGAGGGCAGATGGGACACAGAGGGCGAGGTAGGGAGAGAGGGCGTGGCGGCTGAGAGGGGTGAGGGAGGACTCGGTGTGTTGCAGGGCTGAGAGACACCTGAGAAGAGAGGACCCCACGTGAACAAGATGCCTGGAGAGGTCTGCGGGAACCACCCTGCCTGTGCACTCGCCCCTCAGCCACCAAGACTCCTGGTTCTGCTTTGGCAAAACACCACTTTGCCTGTCCTCTGCTTCCCCAGGCCCAGGGCTGTGTGTGTGTGTGTGTGTGTGTGTGTGTGTGTGTGTGATGGACAGCAAACATTCTCACAAATAAATCTGAGACTTCATGTTTAACTGGTTGTTTGGGGCATCACGGAGTTCTCTTTTGCTTCAGGGTTAGGAGAATAAATCTCAATGAGGAAAAGCGGCTGGCTCATTGGGACCTAAGACCTTAGGGTATCCTGTCCCTCCGTTCTCACAGGCTCCAAATCGGCCATCTCTGTTCTCTCTCCCTTTCCTAGAGCTCACTGCCCAGGCCTGCCTCCTCTGGGATTTCTCTAGCCTGGTCTCCCTCTCCTCCTCTGGCCTCCCGTCCATAAGTCCCCAGGATCACTGCTGGCCCCCTGCCCCAGCCTCCCTCCTCCCTTCCCACCCCACCCACGCCCATCCAGCTCCCAGCTGACTCATCCCTCTTCTCCCTGGAGCTGCCCTTTCATCACGCTACTTCCTTCCAGGACTTGAGTCACAGAGGGCAGCACCCCAGAACCGGGAACTCCTGACCAAAGGCCCTCATTGCACAGAAGGGAAACTGAGGCTCACAAGGGTGAGGGTTACCCAAAGGTCCCAGTAGAGCCTGGAAATCCAATTGCACTTGGCGTTCAAGGTGCCCTTTCCTCCAGCTCAGTCATTTATTCAACAGATCTTTTCTGTGCCAGGCATTGGAGACAGAGCAAACAGAACAGGCAGCGATGTCAGCTCATGAGGAGCCGAGTTCTAATGGAGGGAGAGGAGGCTGACAGTAGACAAGTCGGTCAGCGGTCAGGGGTCCGAGGTGTGCAGAAGGACCGGGCCGGTGCCATTCTAAAGGTGGTCAGGACACTCTCCAGCAGTCACCGGAGCGTCACCACGGGACACAGCGACGCCCTCCGAGAAAAATAGCAGAAGAAAACATGTCCACACACACACCTGTACAGAGAGCTCACGACCACGTGGTTCCCAGGTGCCAAGAGGAGAAATAACCCAAACGTCCACCACCTAAAGCACGTCCACCCACACCAGGGATTATCTGACAACAGGAACGAAGCGCTGACAGCCACAGCGTGGAGGAACCTTATGATCAGCACATGAAGCCGGTCACCACATCGTACAACCCGTTGCTGGGAAATGTCCAGAAAAGGCAAATCCACAGGCAGGAAGGAGATCAGCGGTTGTTGGGGGTGGGGAGTGACTGTGCTAAGGGACTGGGTCTTCCTCCTGGGGTGATGACAACGTCCTAAAATTGTGAGTGTTTAAAAGCCACTGAGTGGCACACATTCAATGTACAATTTAAATGGATGGAAAAAACATAAAGGTGTCAGGGGCAGCCTGGTGGGAGGTGAGGGAGTGAACCTCCGCTCTCTCGGTACCCACACCCGCCAGGCCCCGAGCGAAGGGGAGCCCTGGCCGAGACCACCCGGGAGGGCCGTGGGGGCGAGGAGGAAAGGCATCCTTCACATGTGGGGCAGGAGCTCCCGCCCGCCGCCACGTGGCTGCTTTGCCACTAACCGGGGCTGGGCGCCTGGGGCCCTGAGTCCCGGTGCAGCCTCAGAGCCCCTCCAGCCCGGCCCGTCCAGCCTGGCCCAGCCCCTCCTCGCCCGCTCCCCAGCCAGGCGGCTCCACTGGTCCCATCTGTTTCCCTGGCCTCTGACTCGGGCAGGGAAACTTCCTCCTCATGTCCCCAGGCAGCACAGGACAGAACAGACTGGTGGAGCCCAAACTGAGCCTGGTTCCACCTCCCGGGCGCCCCTCCCCAGGCACTGCGTCGCTGAGATGGCAGGGAGGCTGCCCGGCAGCGGGCGGGCCCCAGGGCCTGGGGCCTGGGCACAGGCGGACCTCTCCTCGCCATGGGACTCTCTGGGGGCACCCTAGGCTGAAGGGGGTCAGATACTTGGGTTTCAAACCTCAGCTTTGCCTCTTACTAAGAAACTTTAAGCAAGTTCCTAACTCCTGAGGCTCAGGGTCCTCTTCTATTGAAAACAAAACAAGTACCCACCTGGCTACAAAATAATATGGGATGTAAACTGCCATTGAAAAATAAAATTTAAGCAAAAACCAAACCACCCCAGCTTCCCCAGGGAGGAGGAGAGGACGGAAGCAAACCTTGCTGGAGCTGAGATGGTCTCTTGGCGTATTCGCTACTCACCCACCTGGACACCCTGGTCGGGCCCTCGCTCAGGAGGCCCCGGCCAGGCAGGAACAGGACATCTTTACAAAGAACTGTCTCCCCCGCAGAGCGGAGAGTGCATTCCTGAGACAAAAGTGTGATCGAATGAAGAACTGCTTGGAGAACAGGAAATCTGGTGAATGAAGAACACTAAGAAAGAAAACTTTAAAAGCCAGTAGTCGAAGGGATGGAAGAAAAAGATGAGGCTATCTTCCAGAAATCAGAATGAAATGGATCACAAGAGAAGGAAAATAAGAGAGAAAGGGTATGAAAATGAATGCATTAGGTTTCATATCCAACTAATTAAGGAGTTCCAGAAAAACATTGAGGGGGAGGGGAGAAAGAAAACGGGGGAGTAATTATCAAAGAAATAATGCACTTCCCAGAACTGAAGCCTTGGGGCCACCTTGAAAAGGTCTCCCAGCGGACCCATCAAACAAGACAGGCCCCGCCCACATCAGGTGGTGCTTCCTGTCCTGAGGTGGGACCCCAGGAGAAAGACAGTCGCCTGAGAGCTGGGGTGGGGACACTCACACAGAATTTAGGACCAGAAGGCCTGGGATCATGGGCAGGACACTCCCTCCGTCCCTCCCAGCTCTGCATCCTCAGAGTCTATGTTTGGAAGACCCCAAAGTCATCTTTCCTCCTTCCCTAATGCCCTCCAGCTGCCTTCATCCTCCTCCTCATTCCTTAGCTGGGCCCAGCCTGCCCTGCCCAGCCCTGCCTTCGGGGTGAGGTCTGTTCCTGAGCCCTGAGCCAACCAGGGTTAGGAGGCTCCTTATCCCTACCCATGGAGGCCCCACCAGTGTCTGTCTCCCACCCCGTGGTCACCGAGAGCCCCATGTGACAGAGGCAGATGTTTCCTGCCCCAGGGGAGTGCTGTGTCAGTGCCCAGCAAGGCCCCAGCCAACATCTCCCAGCCCAGCGATGGGTCCCAACCTGCTCCTGCTGCTGCTCCTGGGACTAGCAGGTGAGGTTCAGAAGGCGCCGAATTCTGGGCCCCCTCTACACTGCACCATGCCTCGAAATCATTGACATGATTGTGGCAACAATACTGCGTGTAGGGCCTGAAGGGGTCCCTGTGCCCTTAGGCCAGTGGGTGGGCTGGGAGGTTCCCCCAACGCCTGTCTAACACCCCTACGTCTTTTCCTTCCCTAGGCCAGGGCTCCGCTGGCAGCCTCCCTGAGGAGCTGCAGGCGCGGGTGGGCAGCTCCATCCAGGTGCACTGTCACTACCGACCCCAGGATGGCAGGGCTCGGAAAGTGTGGTGCCGGTTCTTGCCGGAGGGGTGCCAGCCCTTGGTGTCCTCAGCCGTGGACCGCAGAGCCCCAGGGCACAGCCGCACCTTCCTCACGGACATGGGGAGTGGCCTGCTGCAGGTGGAGATGACCTCCCTGAGGGAGGAGGATGCCGGGGAGTACGGCTGCGTGGTGGAGACGGCCACTGGGTCCCAGACAGTGCACAGGGTGGCTCTGGAGGTCCTCCCGGCAGGTGAGTTATCTATGCCCAGGCAGGTGAGTTATCTATGCCCAGGCAGGTGAGTTATCTAGCCCAGGCAGGTGAGTTATCTATCCCAAGCAGGTGAGTTATCTAGCCCAGGCAGGTGAGTTATCTATCCCAAGCAGGTGAGTTATCTATCCCAGACAGGTGAGTGCCTATCCCAGGCAGGTGAGTTATCTATCCCAAGCAGGTGAGTTATCTATCCCAGACAGGTGAGTGCCTATCCCAGGCAGGTGAGTTATCTAGCCCAGACAGATGAGTTGCCTATCCCAGGCAGGTGAGTTATCTAGCCCACATCGCCAACGTCAGACCTGCCCTTCCCACTCCCACCTGCAGCCCCTGGGTCCTTGAGGGTGATGGCTGCTGGCGGAGAGGACTTGGGAGGGGACATCCTTCTGACAGCTCTGCAGGGAGCGGAAACCAAACTGGTGAGCATCTGAGATAAAACAGCCAGTGCAGCCCCTCCCCATCCTGCACAGGCAGGTCCTCCAGGAAGGCGTGGCCTCTTCTGCACCCAAGGCCTGGGCCTCCTGGGAGAATGAGGTCATTTTTTTTGTAGAAATGTCTTAAAGTTTGAATTCAGGCATATCAACTTGAATTACTCTTTTATATCATCCAGGTTTTTGTAAATTCCTGTAATAATGGGTTTGATGGCCTGAAATATCTTACTTAATTCTCTCAGTCCTCATGGAGCACCCAGTCCCTGCTCACCCACAGGTGGGGTACGTGCAATGCCTCAACTACCCCAACAATCCAGTCCTAAAGTGTCCGCAGTATGGAAGCGAATATTCTCCACCCTAATTTCAGTAGGGAAAGCACTTTATTTTTATAGGTTTAACTCACAAAGCCTACAGCTATCTAACATCTAAGCATCAATTTAAAGAAAAATTTAAAGTGTTAAAAATTTTTCCCAGTAAGATGGGCTGTTGTGAAAAAGCTGTTCGGAGGGAAAAACAGTCAGCCAGCAGCTGCTGGGGCAGGGACTGCTGCTGACGTTCTCTCGTGGCTGCTGACAATATTCGTCTCCAGGGCTGCCTTTTCTCAGTGCTTTGTGCCAATCCCCAAACAACAACATGAAGACAGGCACTTTCCTTCTGCTTTCCCGTCTGTTAATTAAGAAGGTGATGAAGTTGCCATGAGAATCCCTTCTCGTTGGAGTCCATAATCACCGTTTTCTGTTATAAATACACCCCTGTTCGTCCTCGTCACCTCTGTCCCCTCCTTCCCTGACATGCTGAGGTCTGGGAAGTCAAGGTGATAACTCTTCTGTTGGGACAAGACAGAGGCACCGGAAGAGGGGCAGGGAGGCGGGACCTGCAGCGGCAGGTGTGGCCGACAGCCAAGGTGGAGCCTGGTATCCAGGGAGGATGTGGGGCAGCTCAAACAAGGAGCTCCAGGGAGGCCCACCCATGGGGGCTTAGAAGGCACATGTGGCCGGAGTGGGCCTCAGCACCTCCATTTCCTGGTTTGGCCTGGGGTGGGGAGTAGACACGGTGAATCTCCTGAGAATGGGTGAGGCTCCCATCCCAGAGGCTCTAGAAGGACTGGCCAGGCCCCCCAGGCAGATCACCGGGCTCAGAGGAGCCAGTGCTGCCTCCCTCAGTTGAGCACACGGTCACCAAACTGAGTCTCAGGGTGTGAGCAGGTCCCCCAGCAAGGTCAGTTGTCATGTATCACCTTAGGGCTGACCCCGGAGTTCCTCAGACCCTGAGGGCAGAGCTCGGAGGTGGCTCAGTGGCCTGCAGGGGCCACGAGGCAGCAGGGGTGTGGAGAGGCCTCGCAGGCTGTGCGGAGGAGCCCGTGTAGAGCCATGCAGGGGAAGCGGGTGGGCGCTGGAGCAGAGGGGAGAGTGGCATATTCACAGTCAGGTGAAGCCATCCCCTGGCGCCCAGAGTGCATGCCCCTAAGGAAGACCCCAGCCCCTTCTTTGTGTTCCTTTCCACTCAGCTCCCCCCCCCACCCCCCCAGCGCTCACCACTCACCCCCACAGGACCATGAGCCGTGCCCACAGCGGGTATGTGCTCATTAAATATCCCTTCTGCTCAGCTCCTGACCTGGCAGAGGAAGAGGAGGAAGAGGAGGAAGCAGAGTTATACAAGGTTGGCAGTGAGACTGACGCCCCCTCCTCAGACCCCCTCGGCAGTGCCAGCCCTCTGGAGCCCAGCCCGCATGAGAAGAGGTACAGACGGAACCCTGGGTGGCTGGGACAAGGGTGGAGGTGAGGTTACAGCTTGTTCAGAGCCCCAGAGGAAATCAAAGGGAACCCTATGCTTTTTTCCTTTCCTGGGGAACTTCTAATCAGGTAGGTAGACAGACAGACAGACCTCTTCCTTCAGTTCAACAGCGGCCCCTTCATCCCTCGGGGTCCACAGCCATCGTCCCTCGATAATGTCTCTAGTCTGCCCCGCCCGAGCCTGTTCTCCTCACTCCATTCCAAACACCTCCTTCTCCCAGCCGTGGCTCCCCAAGAACTGCACCCCGAGCTCCTGCTCAGGAGTCCTGGCCCGCAGCTCCCAGCTAGTCAGGGCCCAGCTCACCTGTCCCTTCGTGTCCCTCAGCATCCCCTTCATCTGGGGCTCTGTGCTCCTGCTGAGCTTGCTGGTGGTGGCGGTGGCGCTGCTCGCTGTGGTGGCCAGAAGGAAAGGTAGGTGGTGGTCCATTCTTCTATCCCAGCATGGCCCCCCTGGGCCTGTCAGCCGGTCTTTAGACCAGCCCGGGAATCTAGACCATCCCCTACAGAGGCATTGGCAAGGCTGTCCAGACTCTGCAGTTCCCATGGCTGAGGGATGGAGGGGAGGAAGGAGTTCAGTGGGAGCAGGCCAGGGGGAAGACAGGAACTGGAAAGGGTGGGGGAGTGGGACTGGGGACAGGGGACTGGAGAGGTGGGGAAAGGGCTGTGGAGTTAGGGTGGGTGTCCAGGCAGGTTTGGCCAGGAGCTGTGGAAGCAGCAGGTGGGCGGGGAGTCAGGGCAGGCTGGGCTGGGGGAACTGTGGGTCCGAGGGGAAAAGGTTCAGTGGTGGGAGTGGGGAAGGTGAGCCTGAGGTTTCTGAGGGGACGAGGGCTAGGCTTTGAGCCGGCACAGGAGGCGGACTGTGCTGCTGTCCTCTGTGTTACCAGGGAACAGGCGTGGCGTCCCTGGCCAATCCCACAGCAGCCGAGGTCCAGGCACGGTAAGAGGGAGGCCTCTGCCGCTCCCAGCCAATTTGCCCAGGCTCTCCGCCAGCCACACTCCCTGAGAGGTGCCAGGTTGATGGGGTGGAGGGAGGACTGGGACCCAGTTGGGCTCCAAACCATTTTCCGAATGGTCCTTTGAAAAGCCTTTGTCCTGCCAAGGAATAATATTGATGCATGGTCCCACCTTCCCACACTTGGGGAAAAAAATAGGACTTGGAAATCTTCAAGGAGTCCTCTTGCCCGCTGACATATTCAGGATTCCAGAGAAGAGTCAGCGTGGTCCTGGGCTTTGCTCCAGGGGGCTGGGGCCAAGGAAGGCGTGCTCTGCCTGATTTGCCTGCTTTTTCACAGGCGCTCTCCTCGGTGGTCCACACCGATGACTCTGGACTGGCTGCAGATGTGCCCTCGGACGTACCATACGTCAGGCTCGACTCGCCACCTTCCTTTGACAGCACCACCTATAGCAACCTATCTCTTGAGCCCCCGTCAAGGAAACCCCCAGCCCCAGCCCCATCCTCATCGCCCCCTCTGCCTCCTAAGGTCCTGAGCTGCTCCAAGCCTGTGACGTATGCCACGGTCATCTTCCCTGGAGGGGACAGGGGGGGAGGGCCCTCCCGGGAGCCAGCGCGGGATCCTCCCCAGGGCCAGGCTCCGCCCAGCTGAGCTGCTCACCACACTGTGTGCTCACAGAGACCATCAGGGTTCTTTCTGTGCGCCCACCAGCCAGCCCGTGCCCTGCATCCTCAGTGTGTCAGAGCAATTAGGGACTTTAGGGTCCAATCTAATGTTTAGACTTCTGACCTGCAAAGTGATGACTGGTGTGACCGGGTGTCTTGGGGGAGCCTCCCACGCTGGCACCTCTGCCATTACACCACTGGGCTAAATAAACTAAACGATGATCTATGCGCTCTTGGTGGTTGAGGGGAAAGGAAGGGCCTGAGTTTGACTATTTACTTGGCCTGTGAACTGAAGACTCCAGTTGGTGCTGCGTGATCTCCTGCCTGTCCTGTTGGGGGTGGGGTTTCATTCCCTGGTTTCATCCCTGAGTTGAATTCAAGGGGCACAAAGAAGGCTTTTTCAAAAGTATGTCCTGCCTTCCTCATGATACCTGAAAGTATAGATTCATTTCCTTGCAGCTAGAAATCTTTTCTGTTCCTGATGTACACCTTGCAAACAAATGACATCTTCTGTGTGACAATATATGAGAGGAGGGGGGTAATGATTCAAGGGGAGAGGGGGATGAAAAGAAGCAGGAATAAGGACAGAAGTGGAAATATGCGTCAGTGTTATTCCTGAATTTTCAAATGCCAGGAGAGAAGGCTCTTTGCAGACCTTGAGCAGAGCTGCCTCTCTCGGGGTGGCTATCCAGCACTGTTCCCTTTGGCCAGAACTCGGGAGCTTGGGCAGAGCCCAGTGGAGAAAAGGCATGGGGGAGAGGGGCGTGGACGGTAAGGCTGTGGTCATGGTTAAGTATAAATGAAAGCTAATCTAGGCTGGGGGTGGAGGGCCTTTAAGATTCTGCTAGGATTTCTCCTGAAACAGTTCAATTTGAAGACATTTGCCCATATTGAGATGAGAGACTTAAGTGGAGAGGAGGAGGTGCTCAGGAATCCAGTTTTCTTATAATCATGGAGAGCTAGGCGTAAAGAGTTGCCACCATCTGGAGGGATCCTAGCTTGGTTTAGGCACCTCAGGAGAAGGGACAGAGCCAGGGATGTGTCCTGGGCTCCAGCTATGTAAGCCTAGGGGTGCTATTTTTAGAGAGCTCTGGCAGGATGTTCTGAGTGTCCCTGATAGAGTCTCAGTCGGTGACAGAAGCTAAATTTACTTCTGTCCCTTGTGGAGACACAGTCCACCAATCACTAAGCCCTCATTTTTCCCTGGCTAAGATGACTGAGGACTTGCCTGGTGGGGAGGTGAGGGGGTAAAAGGTGGGGGGAGAATGAGGGGGAAGGGCAGAAAGAAGTCTAAAAAGAACTCTTCTGGGTAAAACTTACCCTGACCTAAATGTATTTTGAACTTTTCAGAATCCAACAGAGGCAAAAGCATATTTAGCAGTACAAAGGAAAATACGAAGGAAGAGGATCAACTGGCTGGGGGAGAGAATGAGTGGGAGAAGAGGGAAGGGAAATACATTAATTACATCATTGCTCATGATAAAGGAATTACAAATAAAATAAAATTAAATTAAAAGTACCCATTTAATATAACAAAAGACAGTGGTGAAATAGAGGGGAAAAAACGTAAGACAAATAGAAAACGTAAGATGGCAGGCATAAATCCTACCTTATGAGTAATTACATTGAATGTAAACAGATTAAACATTCCAATTAAAAGACAGAGATTGTAAGATGAATTAAAAACTACATGATCCATCTATATGCTGCCTATAGGAGACAAATTTTAGGTTAAAAAACACACATTGGTTGGAAGTTAAAGGATGGAAAACATATCATGCAAACTAGTTAAAGAGACTTGGAGAGACTATATTAATATCAGATCAAATAGATTTTAAGACAAAAACTTTTACCAGTGATCAAAGAAGTATAGTTTCTGATGATGATGGAGTCAATCCATACAGAAGATATCTATTGTGGGGCGCGGTTATGGTGTTTTGGCCAGGTTCAAGTCTCGGACTAATGAAAGGACAGGGTCCTCTCATTGCCACGTGCAAGTCCCAGCTGCAGGGCAGGGCCCTCCCAGCACAATCATAGCCAATGGCTGTGGTTGTAAGCTTGAACCTATGGTCTGAACACGTAGCCCCACGTGCCGTGTGATAGAGTTCGGGTGCATGTAGTTAAGTGAGGTTGAAACTCACGAGAATGCTGTAAACAACGTGATCACACCCCTACTTTGCCTCGTGGCATCTGCTATAAAATAAAGACACGGCTTGTGGGCGCTGGCGCTGTCTCCTCATCAGGGAGGCAGCGTCCCACCGAGACCCAGCTATTATTCTCTTGTCTGTCTTTCCTTAATCCTTTCACCCTCCCCTCCCCCCCACTCGGGATCACCCTTGGTCATGCTGGCGTGGCACAAATGGCACCTGAACAGGGACTGAGTTCTGCGATCAGGGACTGAGTTCGGGCATAACAATCTATAACAATAAAAGCATAATATGCTAATTAGACTGGACAGTCAAACAACCTTCCGGAAGTCATACGGAAGTCCTTTCAGATGAAGCCGCAGCAGCGGGGCTGAGGCAGAGGTGGTTAGGGGTGGTCAGGCAGACAGGCAGAGTGGTTAGGGGTGATCAGGCAGGCAGGCGAGTGGTTAGGGGCAATCAGGCAGACAGGCGAGCAGTTAGGGGCCATCAGGCAGGCAGGTGAGTGGTTAGGGGCGATCAGGCAGGCAGGCAAGCAGTTAGGGGAGATCAGGCAGGCAGGCAGGCCAGTGGTTAGGAGCCAGTGGTCCCGGATTGTGAGAGGGATGTCCAACTGCCAGTTTAGGCCTAAACTGGCAGTCAGACATCCCCCAAGGGGTCCTGGACTGTGAGAGGGTGCAGGCCAGGCCGAGGGACCCCACCCTATGCATGAATTTCATCTACTGGGCCTCTAGTAATAATATAAATATATGTGTTTCTAACAAAACTTCAAAATACTTGAAGCAAAAACTGACAGAACTAAAGGGAAAAGTAGACAAACAGTAATAATACTAGACTTCAAGGTCCCATTTTCAATAATGGATAGAACAAGTTAAGTGGAATATCAACAAGGAAATAGTAGACATGAACGACATCATAAATCAACTAGACCTAACAGACACCTGTAGAACACTCTAACAACAGCATGTAATGCAGCATTCTCCAGGACAGACCATATGTTTGACCATAAACAAGTCTCAATAAATTTAAAAGATTGAAATCATACAAAGTATGTCTTCTGACCACAATAGAATGAAGTTATAACTTTGGAAACTAACAAATATGTAAAAAATTGAACATTTCTAAATGCCCTGGACAGGTAGCTCAGTTGGTTGGAGCATCGTCCTGTACACTAAAATGTTATGGGTTCAATTCCCAGTCAGGGCACATACCTAGGTTATTGGGTTCTGTCCCTGGTTGGGGCACATATGGGAGGCAACTGAGCAATGTTTCTCTCTCACACCTATGTCTCTCTTTCTCTATTTTTAAGACCCATTGAAAAAAGATAAACAAAATTAACAAACTTAGCTACACTGGCCAAGAAAAAAAGAGAAGACTCAAATTACAAAATTAAAAATGAAAGTGGAGGAAGAACTACTGACCTTATGAGATAAAAAAGGACTATAAGGAATACTATGAACAACTATGTACCAACAAATTAGATAACCTAGATGAAACAGACAAATTCCTAGAAAGACACAAGTTACTAAAACTCATTCAAGAGCAAATAGAAAATCTGAATAGGCTAGTAACAAGTTCAGGTTTAATTAATTTTAAAAATTTCCACAAAGAGAAACCCAGGCTCAGATGGCTTCACTGGTGAATTCTACCAAATACTGAAAGACTTTTAAAACCAGTCCTTTACAAACTCTTCCAAAAAATAGAAAAGAAAGGAAGGAATACTTCCCAACTCATTCTATGAAGCTAGTTTTACCTTGATGCACAAACTAGACAAAGAAATCATAAGAAAACATCCCTTATGAATGTAGACCCAAAAATCCTCAACAAAATACCAGTAAAAGAAGACCGAAAAACAAATAGAAAGGACTATACGCCATGAAAAGGAAAAAAACCACATGGTCATTTCAATAGATGAAGAAAAAGCATTTGACAGAATTCAACATCCTGTTATGATAAAAACATTCAACAAACTAGCAGGTATTTTTCTTAACCTGATAAAAGGCATCTACAAAAACTCACAGCTAACACCATATTTAAAGCTTTCCCCCTAAGATTGAGAACAATAAGAATGTTAACTCTTGCTACTTGTATTCAACATTGTACTAGAGGTCTAGCAAGTGCAATCAGGCAAGAAAAGGAAATAAAAGACATCCAGATTGGAAAGGAGGCAGTAAAATTATCTTTATTTACAGAACATAATCTTGTACAGAGAAAATTCTAAGGAATACACAAAAGAACGTAGAGTTAGTAAATGAGTTCAGAAAAGTTTTAGGGTACAAAATTAATATATAGAAATCAGTTTTATTTCTATACACTAGCAATGAATAATCCAAACCTAGGAGTTTGGGTAAGGGGGCCTGTGGAGTGACTACTAATGGGCACTGAGTTCCTTTCTTGGGGTGCTAAAAATGTTCTGGACTTAGCACAGCTTTGTGATGTACTAAATTGCACACCTTGAAAGGCTGAATTTTATCTCAATAAAATTCTTTTTTCCCTTCTTTAAAAATAATTTACTGTTAGAAAACATTACCATGATATAGCACATCAAATGAATAAGGAAAAGAAACATAACTACATCTACATAGATGATAAAAAGGCTTGATAAAACTCAACAAAAACTCATCAAGAAAGTTCACTTCATTCACATGTTAGTAATTATAATCTTTTAAACTAATACTTTTATTAAAGTGATTCAATATCTTATGTAAGATTATATTGCTAGTTTGTAGCAGATAGAATTAAACCTTTGTTCGTTTCTAATCAATGTTATTACAATATCAAACAAATTATTCTGTGTATGTGGAGAATAAATTTCAGAATATAAAAGGTGGTAAAGAGTGGGATAAAATTTGTTACTTTTTAAATTAATTAATTAATGTATTTTTTATTTTTTATTGATTTTAGAGAGAAGAAGGGAGGGGAGAGAGAGAGAGAGAGAGAGAGAGAGAGAGAGAGAGAGATTGGTTGCCTTCCGCATGCACCCTGACGAGGGAAAGAACCCATAATCTAGGTATTTGCCCTGACCTGGAATTGAACCCGTCACCTTTTGGGTACAGGATGACTCTCCAACCAACTGAGCCAC